GCAGCGCGGAAGAGAGAGGAACCCCCCCCCGAAGCTAGATTCGTTGGCTGTGAAGAGCCCGTGCCTGCCTTTTGCAGAGTTTAGCGCTGGGCTGCCAAGATTGAGGGCAGCTACGTAACTTTTCTTAAGGTTCTCGTCCCGGGTAAGAGCCTTTTTCCCTTCGCAGTAGGTAGCAAGTAAAGCTGGTTGTAGGGGTGCCCACAGTAAATAAAAGCAATTTGCTCACTTGGTGGAATGGGGCCAGCCTACCCTACAGGGGTAGGCCTCGCAGGCCTGGGCAGCGCAGCACATCCCACGCGGGTAGAGGCGTGCTCCCACGAGAGACGGCGCTCGCTCGTTAGCTGGGAAAGCGTGCGGTTGCGCCAGTGGGAAACCTCTTGCAGGCCTTGCGGCTCGTCCAGAAATTGCTGGTGAAGTTCTCCTAGAGCACGTGGGCCCTTTGCACCACGCCGGCTGCCTCCGCTCTTTCCTTTGTATTCAAGCACTCTTGGGGGCTGGCAGGTTGCTGTGTGCCTCCCTAAAATACCCACTAACTAGTGTGCAAAAAGTGAAGGGGTGCATCTTTCTGTCTGTCTGTGTATCTTTCTGTCTTTGTCTTTCTGTCTTTCTTTCTTTTTTAATGTTAGATTTCGGGATAACTACCCAATGTATGAGTTACAGTGTTCAGTTTGACCACCCATACTTGGCTAACTGAATTTGTTTATGAAGTCTTATCTGAGTCTTCTGTTTTACAGTTCTAAGTTCAGGTGGTTAAATGGCATGAGAAAAGTACATAGTGACCGTCCCACTTCTGGTAAACTGTAGCTTCAATTAGCTTGATTGTGGTCTGTTAGGTGTCTTGGCAAAGTAATCTTACACACCTGTTTGAATTGTTGGCTCAGACTCTAATTAACACAGTTTATTGCCTTCTGAGCACAGAAGAGCTTTTCAAATTAAACTGCCCCACTCCTTAGCCCCCCCGGTCGTGCTGCATTTGGTTTGTTAGGCTGAATTGTGTTAGTACTCTCTTAGAAATATGGAGCGTGTATTCAGCTTGTTCTTTAATCTGAAAGTATCACAAGAGGGCGCTCACCTAAAGCTAAAAGTTTGCTGGCTCGGAGCACGTCTGTGTGCGTACTAAATTTTCTTCATTTGTGCATCTCTCGTTCTGGTGCTTAGACACAGTGCTCCGATGTACATTGTAAAGAAGTGACAAGGTAGACTGTGGATTGTAAGGACAGAGACAAAAGCGTTAACATGAAGAAAACAAACCAACATGTATGCATAATTTAAGCAACAGTTAATAACTTCAGGTAGCGAATACTACGAATTAAAGTTAATAACTATTACAGTGATGTGTATTTTGCTTAATTATGACGTATAGTGAGGTTTGAACTCTGAACTACTGAAGACTGAGGCAATGTAAAGGCCTATTTAAGGCATATGAGCAAATTGCAGAATTCTCACAGCAATAGAAGATCAGAACTAACAGTTAGTTAGATGGATCTCTGAAACAGAAAAAGAGGTAGTGAGTTATTTCTTGTTTAGTTTATTCAAAAGAAAGAACTTTCAAACTTTTTAGAAACCCACGCATGACAATGTTAATGAGACAGCCACAATCACTCCTAGTTGATGTAGATAAATGGAGATACAATCTTCCGTAATGATCTCTTGGGCAAAACGTTAGTCTTTTCCCACATTAGGCTGATCTTTTTGCCCTGTTTCACAAAGGGTTTAATATCCATGTGATTTTCTGTACAGAAAATTAGATTCAGTTGCTGTGAATTTCATATACTTGTTTACTAGATGTAAAATGGCTCTTTGTTTGGATTGGAGTCGCATTTAACTGAGCATGTTCACTTTTAGTGGAAAGAATTGAAAATAGAAATAGAAATATGAACAGATTTTATCACATTTTATAGGTATTAATAGCTACACAAGTAAATGATACACAACTTAGTTCCAAAGTCCGCTAGCTGACAGGTAACCTGAGATAAAACAAACACAACTCATGTATTTCAATAGGTTTTATTTTATCGATAAGTAAGCAAACAACTTTTCTTTCGGTGATCCAGGCAATGTGTGAAATGAATCATTCTATCATGAATAATTATGAGAATAATGAATAATAAGTATGTGCAATTGCTATTTTAGCTGAGAATTTACTTGCTCCCAGGACAATCCAGAATCTCAGTTCTATGCAAGAATTGCTCCACGCATGTGTTTTTCTCCTATGTTTCGCTGAAGTCTTTGAATACTGCACTGAGGGAAGATTCCCTTGTATAGAGAAGCTTGTGAGAAAGCATCCAAGTCAATGTCTTGCACTGTGCTGGAGTAACACATGTATTCTTCTTCAAATTAATAAAGAATGGACAGATGGCAGTGGGACCATGGAAATAATTACAGTTACATTCATAGTGGTTTCACTCGCTGTTTTTCTACTTCCTTCTGGAAATTACAGCCATAGTGTAGAACAACATTTTATCAAGTGTGGGGAGGGAGAGAAACTGCACGGTGGAAAGTGGCGACCATGGGGACAAGCCCATTTCAGACTGGGAACGGGGCGAACGGCTGAAAACAGCGTAGTGTCCTACTGAGATCTAAAGTTGTGATTTCCTGGAGGAACGCGGAGCAGATCACACCGCTCTTATGCTCTCTCAGATTATCTGCAGGCTGGTACCAGCTGCCTGCAGCGGTATCTGATGCCACCTCACCGCTCGTACAGGCGGCGTTTTCCCTCCCCCTCCGGATGACTTTCGAAGAGAAGCTTCACTGCACAAACTCTGCGACCCCCCAGCGCAGTTTTGCGAGGAGACACAAATCCTTTGCAGATTGCGGCCCTAACCTCACGACTCGCAGCTAGCTTGGGAAAGAG